GTTGCTTGAATTTTGAGGGGTTTGTGGCCCAGCTTAGCTGAAGTTGGGATATCTTTGAATTATTTTAAGATATTGACACATACATAATTATTATTAACTTATAATTAGAAATGATTATTTGAGTGCTGGAGAGATGACTCAGTGATTAAGAGCACTGACTGCTCTTCCAGAGGACCGAGGTTCAACTCCCACTACCCACATGGCAGCTCACAACTGTCTGTAATTCCAGTGCCAGGGGACCCAAAACCCATGGCAAAACACTAATCCAGAAGACGACAACAACAGCAGAGAAATTGTTATTTGAAATTTGGTTTTTATGGACTATAAGTTAATGTGGCTTATTAAAATAGATGCTTTTTGCAAGTATAGATGTGTCAGTTGCTTGCCTTGTTCCTATGATAAAATATCTGGAAGACAGGAGGAAGTACTACTGCTTGGTTGATAGTACAAGGGCACAGTTCATAGTGTCATGGAAATAACTGAGGTCATGTGACAAGTAGGGAAAAAGAGTGAGGGCCCGGCACTTAGTTCTCATTCTTCCTTTTATCCTGCATCACAGCTCACGGAATGGAGCTGCCTACAGCTACCCAGGCCTTCCCACCTTAATTTAAGTGATTCTAGATAAATCCTTAGTGGCATGCTGGGAAGCTTTTCTCCTGAGTGACTCGAGATCCTGTCAAAGTAACAATCAGTGTTTACTATCACAACTAATTCCTGATGGAAACTCATCTGTATCTCTACTCCCTCTAGCCAATTACCCAGGCTGCAAGCGCTCTCCTGTGTTGTCATTTAAATTCTGCTATAATACCCTGCCATGTTAGCATGGCAGGCAAAAGAAGACTTAATGCAAAATTAGGATGGGTCCATTTTTTGTTTCCTGTTTATCTTTCAAGCAGTATTTCTTAATACCCTCCCACCCCCCCCCCCCCCCGCCTTGATTTTTTTTTCCTTATCTGGGAATTCCTAGTTTATCTGCTCAGGAGCAGTTTTCTGTCTCCTCAAACATAAAAAGAGCATACGAAACTCTGAAAAAGCTATTCTAAAAAAAGATTCATAATCTTATTACCCATATAAAATCACTCCAAATTCTATCTTCACTTTGTCCAGATGAATTCTTTGTATGTGTGGTTTCACTGACAGAGAAAAGAAATGTGTTCCCTGACAAGGTTAATATGTAATTCTCTTAAAAATCCTAACTTATTTTTCTTTTTGAGAGCTGGACTGGCTACGTGGCCTGAAAGTCTCATTTTCTTGCCTCAGCCTCTCAATTGTTGCCGAAGTTACGAGTGTGAGGTACCATGCCCAGCAATAAGGTACCCTCCAGGCTTCAATCCCCTTTAGTCAGAATGCACTGAAGATTCATGATCAAAATAAACAAGTCTAGCTTATGTTTACTCTGCTGTCTCATGGTTTTATTCACAGAGATACCGCGGGAGAGCCTTCTAACTCTAATAATAGAGAAACGGCCCGACAAGAACTTCTCTACTCTCTACATAGCGTAAACACGCATTCTTTGGTACTGGTGGTCACTAGTGTGTGCCCTTTGACCTGCACAAGAGATTTGCGACCACCAGGGGGCGGGGAAGCTCTAGAGCTCTTGGTGCGAGCGGCCAGGGGGCGTGGCTTCTGCATCCTTGACAGACAGCTAAGGAAGGATGCAGGCGAGGATGAGGTAATAGCAGGCAGAACGAAGAGGGCGTGGGGTTGTTCGTGCGCGCGTGTGTGTGTGTGTGTGTGCTTGGGTGTGTGCGAGTGTGAGTGTGTCCGTGCGTGCGCAAGCCGGAGGAAAATGCGAGCCTCGGAGCTCGGGCCGCGGACCCGGCCGGCGCTGCGCTGAAAGCAGACAGACAGACAGACAGACAGACAGACAGACAGACAGACAGAAAGTTCCATTTTTTAAGAGAGTGCGAAGTTAAGGCCCGGCCGTGGCCGCTGGGGTCGGGATGGCGCGCGTGCTCTCGGCACCAGGGGACTAGAGAAGCGTCCTCGGGCGCGAGCTCGCCCTGGCGCACTGCCGGGGAGGGGCGACTCCTTCTGGAAGCCACTGAGCAGAGCCGCAGGGAGGGGGAGCTGTGTCGCCGCGGTCGCCGCGCTCAGTACGGAGAGAGAGGGCGGAGGGCGTGACCGTGCGGTGCGATCCACGCGGACGCCCGCGGAGCCCGAGGCGCAACTGGTGCGAGGCGGCTGCAGC